TAGTGACAAATCCAGGCTGTCAGGCATCCAAGCCACACCCCTGGGGATGGGCTTACCAGAGTTAGCCTAGAGTCCATGCTCAGGGGGCCTGGGAACTGCCTGGCACTTTCCAGCATCAGTGGAGTCAGGATTGGTCCTGGGGGTAAGAGAGAAAAGAGGGGCTGGGAGCCGAGCTAGGCAGGCCCCCAGCATCCTGAGTGGCTCTGCTCTGCCATTTCCTGCTTGTTGAACTGTTCTAGAAACTGTGCCTTCATCAAGCGTGACCCGCATCCTCCTGCCTTCCCAACCTCCGTCATCACTTAGCGTTTACTTCAAAAGCATGCTGAGGCATGGCAGCCTTTCTGGGGGCCAGGGTTTCCCCACTGGGAGAAGGACTGCCTTTATTCTGGTGGAATTTGTTAGTTATGGTGTCTAATTTGAGACCTTAAGAAGCGCTATTACTACAGTGTTCTTCAGTCTCCAAGTCTCTGTATTTGGTCCTTCCAAATACAGTGTGTTCTCTCAGGTCTACACCTTGCTTTGTGATTTACAGTAACGATTATGATATGAGATCGCTAACATTTCATGAGAGCCGTGTGCTAAGCTCTATACATGGATTGTCTCATTTAATCCACATCCAAAATCCTAGGAGGAAGGTGTTCTTACTAAACTCATTTTACAGCTCAGAAGACTGAACAACAGAGAGGTCAAGGAACTTGCCCCAAGATCACATAGCTGCTAAGGAGCAGCACTGGGAACCAGAGTTCATGCTCACAACTCACATGTATGCTAGCTTTAAAAATGAATATATGAATAAAATGTGTCTGAGGCCTCACCTGCTTGCATTTGTCACTGGGAGTATATCAAGAGATCAGCAGAATGCATCAAGAGATCAGCAGAATGCATCAACAGCCCTCCTCCTCCTTCCAATGCTTCCAATGCTGCCTCCTTCCCAGGGGAGAAAAGGCAACTCGATTGCTTGCTATGCTCAGGCCTGCAGCCTTCCTGGAAAACGTCTTTCTGAAGTCACATTCTTGAAGGGGTGGAAAATATCGAGCCAATCTCTTGGGGCTGGGGCCCTTGAGAAATCAGAGAAATGGACTACTTCGGTAGCTGACCTCTTACTTAAACTGATCAGATTTTTTATGGCATTGAAAGCCACTAGAGGGGAAAACCACAGAGTTGATCACCTTCTGGTGAAGCCCCAGGTGAGTGGCTTAATAGATTTCTGCATAAATAAGTCCCACTCTTCGGAAGGCGCACGTATTCGCCCGGGCCCCAGGGGACCTATTGGTCTTCAGTGGCAGATCCTTCCGAGGCCTTCCAGAAAGAGTCAGTGGAGCTCTGAGTCGTGTTTACAGGAATGCTGCAGGAATTTGAATGTCGCAGAGTTAAATTTTCTAACAAACCAGGTTGAATAGAAAGCCATGTTTTCACAAGCCTTTATGGAAACTGTTTCTTACCTGCTTTAGCTGGTAACATTCAGTAAGCGGAACCATGACTCATTTTGTATGATTGAGGGAAATGATCTTGAGGGTATGATCTTGAAAAACAGGTGTTTCCTGGCATCTGCTATCAAGAATAAATGGCAGGTCTTGCATGGCCCCCCTCTCAGTCAAGACAGTATGCTTCAAACACGTAAGAGGCACCACAGGATAGATGTGGTCCTGCCCCCAGGAGGCTGACAGCAAACAAACAGTAAGATAGATGGATGGACAGACAGACAGACAAAAGAATGGAGTAGTCACAGGTTGTGAAAAGTGCTAAGAAAGGGGAGGATGAAATTGGCCAGAGATGGGACGTGTAAAGGCAGGAAAGGGGTGTGCCCTCCTTTAGAGAAGGCCTCCTTTGGGGACATGACATTCAAGTTCATATTTGAGGGGGTGAGAAGGAGCCAGCCCCGCAACGAGCCAGGAGAGGGAAGAGCAAGAAGAAAGTCCTCAAGGCAGGAGAGACCCAGGCCAGCGGAAGGCGGCACCTGCCGAAGGACATCGGGGCGGGCCCCACCCCTGCAGAGCCTGTGGGCCAGGCCCCGGGAGCTGGATTCTAGTCTCAGTGCAGGGGAAGGCATGGGAAGGTTTGAAGCAGAGGCACCACACAGTCTTACTTACATTTTAAGCTCACTCTTGCATAAGAGACTGGTTTGGGGGCACCTGGGTGGCTCAGTTGGTTGAGTCTCTGACCTTTGATTTCAGCTCAGGTCGTGGTCTTAGGGTCCTGGGATCGGGCCCTGCGGTGGGCTCCCTGCTCAGTAGGAAGTCTGCTTGTCTCCCTCTCTCTCTGCCCCTCCCCCCCCGCTCATGCTCTTTCTCTCTCCCCCCTCCCTCTCTCTCTCTCTGAAATAAATAAATCTTTTAAAAAAAGAGAGAGAGAGACTGGTTTGGATGGAGACCCGTGAGGAGGCCACTGCACTCATCTAGACGAGAGGCCGGTGTTTGGAACCCATGTGTGGGCAGTGGAGCCGGAGAGCCGTGGTTGGATTTGGGATTGGGGTGGCGAATTCAACAGCTGATGGAATGGCCATGAGCATGGAAGAAGGTTCTGGCCTGAGCACCTGGGTGGACAGGGGTGCCATTCACAGAGATGGGATGACTGGGGGCAGGTTTGGAGGGTGGGGGTGTAGACATGTTAAGAAAAAGTTGCATTTCGGACATGCCACATCTGAGAGTCCGGAAGACGTCCAAGAGATACGCTCAGGAAAGCAGTAGCATATGGGCTCACTGCTTGCCAGCTCTGTAACGTGGGCAGGTTCCTCAACTCTAGAATGGGGCCCCTGATAGCACCTCCGTTGTGGACTTGTCGTGATGACTGTATGACTTCATACAGGGAAAGAGCTTAGATTTCAATAGTAAGAACTCAATAAACGTTAGCTTCCTATAATAACAATTACTATCATCACCATCTTAGCTACAGTAATTTCCTTGCCATTTGTCTCTTTGTAATTAAAATCAAGGGCCTGTGTAGCTGGTAAACACTTGTGCTGATGTTCTTGGAGTTATTGGCTTATGAGTCTGGGTTTTCAGGGAACACAGGGTGGGGTCTGTGTCTCCCTGCTCCTAGCCCCCTATCGTGGTGCCCACACAGAGTAGGTGCTCAGTAACATTTCTCCAGTCACATGGAATTCAACTTGATTCCAGCAAAAAAAAAAAAAAATTGTTCATTTGAGAGAGTCAGTCAAGCATAGAGGAGAGCAGAAGGGACTTAGACACAGGAGAGAGGAAACTGCAAATTCACTGACAATGACAATTCATAGCATCTTTGCTCTCAAGAAGGAGGCTCTTGATTTCACAAATCGACCTCTTCCCGGACTAGATAGTGGTCTGTTAGAAGAAAAGTTTTCCCTACTTTCCCTACCCTAATTTCCCTACACAAGTAGTCAAATCTGATACCTCCCCAAGATCTGCACATACACCCCACCCAATCAGGGCTCCAGACACCTCAACACAACACATGCAGACCACCCCCTTCCCCTTTCCAGAAGCCTCTATTTGTATGCCCCAGAACCTGGCCCTGCTGCTCTCACCCTCTTTGCTCTGTCCTGTCCATTTGGCCTGGACCCTTTTTATTTTTAGGAAACTTAGATGCAGCCCACCACCACACGGGGGTTTCCTCTCTTCCCCTGGAAATGCTGGGATCTGTGGTCTCTCCCTGTGTTCTTTTCAAATCTTGGCAGTGGCTCTGCCCTTTTCCAAATTAAAAAAAAAAAAAAAGTTTAATTTCAATTTCAGATAAACAGCAAATAACATTCTAGTGTAAGTTTGTTCCATGCAGTATTTACTAAAGTATTTTTATTTGCTAAATCTAGCAGCCCTCACTGTGAGAGTCCCAAGTCCAAAGCCCCATGTATCCAGCCTTACTGCACAAACCCCATCACATCTTGGACGCTGAGGCCCAGGGTCCTTCAGTCCTCCCCCACCACTGCGGGGCCCTCAGTCTTCCCTAGAGAGTCCTCCAACAGTGTTGGGTGGTCTAGGCTCCCCAGCCTGCCCTGAAGAGGTCTTAATCCTGGAGTCCAGGCTCCTGGTCAACTGTGGGCCTTCCTTGTTCTCTCCCGGTGCTCATACAACTAGGCCCTTGGAGGCTTAGCCAGACGCCCAGCTCCTGAGCTGTGCATGCAGATTAGACCCCACATCAACACCAAGCTTTCCGTCCTCTTTCCCTGGTTTCTATCTTCGCTGCATCAGCTCCCTCTGGTGGCCAGAAGCAAACTTACTGTCTCCTGTCCTGGGTTCCTATTTCACGGTAGCCTTCTGCCCAGGCAGAGATGAATGATACATCAGAGACCAAACGAAGAGTCAAGCTCGTACCCATCCCACCCACTTCCTGAGGCTCCCTTTGTGGTTCACCCCTGAAGGGCTCTCCCCCGGGTCCTAGCGTTACTGATGAACAGGAGCCTCGGTGCCGTGGACTTTTGGGAACAGTAGCCCCTCTTTTCCTCCAACGATAAAAAAGAAGGTAGTTCCCTCACAAACTGAACCTTTCTTTATGCCACAAAGTGGCTTAGTTAGAAGCAGGAATGGGACCAGGAATTCTAAACACGTGGCTCTTTTCCTCAGTCTCCACCCTCTGGGTTAGCAAGAGGAGGGTATAGAAAGGGGGCTGGGACAGGGCCCACTACAGGTTGCTGGCTCTGTGGCCCTGGGCAAGTCCTTTATCTGTGTATTTACCATCATGGTTAGAAGAGGGGTAATGATAGTCCTTGCCTTTTGGGGCTGTGTGGGGCTTGAACGAACTAACTCACGTAAAGAGTCTAGCAGAGTGCCTAGCCCATGGTCAACATTCAGTAAATATTAGCTCTCACCATACTTAGCTCAGCATGCTCTGGAAGCATGGAGGAAGACAGAGGTGCAACAGTTAGAAGGACAAAGGATCAAGACATCCATAGTTTAATTGCAGCCTAGGAACAGGCCGTTGACATGGAAAATGCAAAGGATCCTTGGGGCTTTCTAGCTCTCCTGGTCCTCAAGGACCAGTTCCCGGGGAAGCCGCTGCACCCAGCTGACCATCTCTCCCTTCCTTAGGGCCGACGACTGCTTTTGTGCTTCTCGGAAGCTGGATGCAGTGGCCATCGAAGCCAAGTTTAAGCAGGACCTGGGTTTCCGGATGCTGAACTGTGGGCGGACGGACCTGGTGAAGCAGGCAGTGTCTCTCCTGGGGCCCGATGGGATCAACACCATGAGTGAACAGGTACAGGGTCCAAGAGTCTGAGTGGATGCCCCCCGCCCCTCCACCAGGTGCACTGCCCCACGCCAAGATGGCCAACAGCAGGCCCTGGACACACACTCCCCCTACTGGTGACTTAGGGTGATTTTTTTTTTAATTTAGTTAGTTTTAGTTTTTAAAATACAAAAACATCCTCGTTCATCTTTATAGAAGTTGCACATGATCTTTTGCAGCTGAAATGGAAAGTAGAGAATAACAGGCCTATTCCAGAAAGGAAATAATGCCATCACCCAGATAGCCATCATTTATATTTAGCATGTGTCCTTCAAGTCCTTTTTTCAGTGTGGTTAAAATTAGTTCTCTGCCTGCCTTTCTGTTACTGCATCACAGAACAGCTCCGGGAGTATTTTTACCAAACTTTCAGGGGATGTTTGAGATACACGGAAGTCATTCTGGGGAACCCTAGGAGGCACCTCAAAAACAGGCAGCTGTCCCCCAAGCCCCTGAAACTGAGGTACGGTGAGAGGCTCATGTGTCTACCAATCAAGAGACACCATGTGGGTGAAAGTGTCACGGACAGAGAAAACAAACAGCAGTTTTCAATGTGAGCCCCAGATGGAAAGTCAGAAGGGACAGATGGAGCTGTTTCTCATATGGACAGCTCATGCAGCGAGTTCCAGGGAAGGAATAGCAGCTAAGAATTTTCCTGAGCAGCAAGGAGCCCTAACACACACACACACACACACACACACACACACACACACACACACATTATTTTTTTAAAACGGGGATTTATAATGTCTTGCCTTTTGCAATAATTTATATTAAAGGTGCTTTGCAGTATCATTAAATATTTTTCTTTTAAATCATTTTAACGGCTACATTAAATGGTCATATTATTAATTCAGTTTACCGTTCTCAGTTGTTGGCTATTCAGGTTGTTTCTAATGACTTTTATCAATAAGGCTGAGTTAAACACACAAGTCTTTGTTCAAATCCCTGATTGTTTCATTAGGGAAGGTTTTTTTAATTGAAGTATAGTTGACACAATAGTTTCAGGTGTACAAAATAATGATTCTACAATCCTGTGTGTTAGGCTATGCTCATCATTAGGGAAATTCTTAAAAGTGGAAGTAGTGGCTCGAACACATCAACCTTTCTGAATGGTCTCCATCTCAAGTTACTTTTCCAGAGACTTTGTTTCCTTATACACACCCTCCAACCTATATGTATTTCCCTATTAATCTTTTACTTAATGTTTTGCAACTATTTCATTGGAGCTTTACTGTCTTCTTTATGTAGAAGAGTTCTTTACATATTAGACATATAACCCGTTGTTATAATATGACAAATGTCTCAATTTATTGTCTACCTTTCAATTTTGTTTATAATGTTTTCCATTTTATGTCCTCAACACCGTAATGATTTTTATTCGTGATTTCTTCCATTCCTTTTACACCTAGAAACAGATCCAGTGAGATGTCTTTTATGGTCTTAATTTTTTCTCTATGTCTGTAGTCAAACTAGAAATTATTTTGGCATATGGTGTGAGATAAAGCTCTAATTTGCATGTTTTCCCAAATAGCCACCTTCTCAGCACCATTTATCGAAAAATCCATCCCTTCCTTCCGTTGGTTGTAGAACTTCAAAATAATCAGAGTCACAGGCAAATATGGAATTCCTAAAAGCCGTTCCTCATTCACTTGCCTTTTGCTTGTAAATGATAATGTCAAACCAGACGTCAGTGATGGGGGCATGCTCAGAGGCATCCAATTTCCCTTGACACTGACCAGCAGCTTATATAAAGCAAAGATGACACTTGTTATATTGTGAAGGAGAAAATGTCAAGGAAACAGTGTTTATGAATTAGGTAGTTGGACTGATGTCACAGAATCCAGAGAGTTCCTAAGACCTGTAAGTTGAAATCAGCCACCTGTTTTAGCAAACACTCTTAGGTCTGCTGCATCTTAGGACAGACAAATGAAAATACTCCAACTTAAGCAAAAGTAATCGCAAAAAAAAAAAAAAAGGCAATTCATCCCCCACCCAATTTTTTGCTTCCATTCTGGGTTTCAAAATGTGCGGGATTGTGACCTTATGAGTCCTAGGGCGGCACATTTGTTTTTTTTAATGCTGGATTTTGAATACAAGCATAACCACCTACACACAAGTAAGAATTTCCATTTGCTGTTGTTGAGTGACAGCCACCGTGTAAACCCTCTCCATTCTCTGGTTTTTAACCCACTGCAGGGCATGACCCCCCTGATGTACGCCTGCGTCCGTGGGGACGAGGCGATGGTTCAGATGCTGCTGGATGCCGGAGCTGACCTGAATGTCGAGGTGAGGGTGCAGAGGGCTGCAGGGCCCCTCGGCCTGGCAGTCCCCCAGGGGGAAATGAGCAAGGGGGGAGGGGGGCTTTTTCTCCCAAGAGCCACCACTGAGTGTGCTCAGTCCAGCAAATAGGTCAGACCAGCTGGTGGATTTCCTCCATCCCAAGGCCCCAGCCTGAATGTACATTTCATTTAAAAACAACCAGCAAAGCTGCAGGGAGCACCAGCTTTTATTTGCTTCAGCGGAACTGAGTCTGATTCTTACTGCTCATCATTCCTTTGGCGATGGGGCAGAGAATGCTCTCCTGAGCTATCAGCCCTTTCTGCCTAATACAGAGCTGGTCCATGTACCCTGACCTGAGGTGTAGCTCCCCCAGATCCTCCGCCCTCCCAACCAAATCCTGATTGGTTCACCTGTTGGCTGAGTGGAAGCCACAGGTCTTAAGGCCAATCGCAAAGCTTCCTAGAGGCAGTGTGGTGTATAGTGGAAATCACACCCCCAAGGGCTTTAGAATTTGACACTCGGGCTCAAATTCGGGAACTGCTGAGTCTTAGCAACTTGCTTTTGTGCTTGGGCAGGTGGCTTAACCTTTTGGAGCCTCGGCGTCCCCATCCACAGCAGGGAGAGAATAATCACACCCATCTCAGAGAGTCGCTGGAAGAAATAAATACAAAGGGTACCTAGCATAAGTTTGGGACTCGGTTAATATTGGTTTCCCCACACACACCGCGAGGCTTGTAATAGGTGAATTCATGCTTTTTGACCATATTCTATCCTGTCTTTCTGGCAGCCAGCTATTGGCAGCCCCAGAGGCTGGGAAGGTTGGCATGCTGCAAGCCTAGCTCAGCAACCCTATAAAACCTTGTTAGTTCAAAGCCAGACGTTCTTGCAGTCTTAGTACTGTGCTTTTTTTTTTAACTAGTGATTTTGATATTCATCTGAGGAAAACAGGCAGTAGACACAGTTTTGCATCCAGACCATTTTGGATATCACAAGTTTCAAGTACTGGGGACTTTCTCGCCTGTTATGAATCCCCCAGCACCGTGCAGACCCCTGCAAGGGCTCCTCATCTTTAGGTCCTGGTAGGCTTCTCTGGTCCTCTCTAGCCCATCCCATGGCTCCTAGTTCAAGGCCTCGCCCCGCAACCCACTGGCAGGTGATTAGTGAACTCAGCTGCTCTAAGTGAAACAGGCATCACGGCTAGATGGCCCCAGGAGAGTTCAGGAGAAAAGCCATGTGTGGGTGCCAGTCCTGCAGGATCCCAACCTTCAGCTGCCCTGCTGCCTCTCTTTTGGCCTAGGGTGTGTTGAGGCCCCCATACTGAAAGACCCAGATCAGATTGCTCACTCATGGTGTGTCCAGGGAAGGGTTTGTGTCCAGGTTTCTAGCAGCTTGAGGGTCCTTGTCTCCTAGGAAGCCAACCAAAGAGTGAAATGAAGATAGGTAAGGTGAGCTGTGACCAGATGGGAATGTCACTCCATCAGATGGGTGGCGGTCTTCCCTGGCTTGAAAGCTCGAAGCAGACCTCCCCTTGCCTGAGGTTTGCTGCTGCTGAGAATCTCCCCTAAAGGTGTGGATGTCATGGTCTGGCATCTCATGCTATCTGACCTGCTGTGGCTCTCAGAAGCACCACTCTTCCTTAAGCAGGAAGAAGGGGCAGGCTGGGGAGCTGGCTCATGGTAGCTGCCATGACAGTTCCTCCAAGGTACCATAGAGGAGGTCAGAAATCATCAGTTTTACTCCTTTCAGGTGAGAAGCCAAAAGGAGTCCTTCCGATGCATGGAGGACTTAAAGTCACCACCCCACTATCACCAACACTTCCCAAAGGCACTTCCAGAATGCCCTTCCGTACATCTCTAGCCCACGTGCCCAGCCACAGATAGGTCCGATTTGCTAGTCTAAATATTGTGAAAGGTCACATTTTGAAAATAACTTCAATTTGTTTATAGGTTGTCAGTACTCCTCATAAATATCCATCCGTCCACCCCGAGACCCGCCATTGGACGGCTCTGACTTTTGCTGTGTTGCATGGACATATTCCTGTAGTTCAGGTATTAATGGATTTCCCTATCCACGTCTGACCTTTAATTTTACCTCCTCCATTATGCAAATCTGTACCTCTCCTAGCATGCACATTCCCTAAGGGATTCATATTGGTTAACTTCAACGAAGTATAGCACATTCATATCATATAAACGCAAATATCATATGTAATGATCTATATGGCCTGGCTTTAACCAATATGAAATTATCACAGACCCACACGCAGCCTCACACACACAAGTGGCAAATGGACGAAGTTGTTCCTGGTTGCTCGGGGGTGGGGCCTGAGCTGTGATGTTGTGGATTTGTTCCTTTTGCTTGTCGTAACATGAACATAAGACTTGGCTGGTGTGAGACCTTAGAACCTCCCCTTAGGTGTGACCCTGGTGTTTGTGTAGAGTCTAGTGGTTTCTAACTAGTGGAAAGAAGCATCCCCAAGTCGCCAAAGGAGTGGTTCTAAAAGACACTTGCTGGGATCCTACTTATTGAGAATCTGGTCCCAGAGGTCTAGAGTAGGGCCTTTGCATGTGTCTCCTGAAACAGCTCCCCAGGTATGGAGAGATGTCCTCATCTGAGGTCCTTGGGGCATTTAAGTATGTATTGCTTGGACTTTTTCTGGTTGTTGTACAGTTGTTCAAGAACGAGCCATCCAGTACATTCTAGATCTTAAACTCAGTCTTCAGTGCATCCAAAAAAAAAAGATATCAGCATCCCGGTCCATTACCCCACCTGGCCTCCTAGTGCTAAGCTTTGGTTACATCAGGAACACTTGCTTTTATGTGGTCCAAGCCTCTTAGAAGTCTGCAGAGCAGGAAAGGGTGTTATAGGGACCACTGGGCAATGTTGGAGATCCACAGGAATCTTGGGTTGTTTCCTCGGTCATGGGACTCCTTCAGACAGATCCAAAGTCATGTTCCAGGGGGCGGAGTGTGTAACGTGTCACGCTGAGAGCTGACTTCTGCCTGTAGAATGCTCTGTAGAATGTCATGCCCAGTTCACTCCTGGTAGAGGGATATAGTAAAGAAGGGATCAGGGGGCAGCCTAGTGGATACAAATGCCATCCCTTAAAGTGCAGTGGCCTCCCCAAGCCTTTAAATCAGGAATAGGAGCGGCGGGCAGCCAAGCAAAGCCAAATGGGAGTCAGGCCACCTCTCCCCTGCAGGTGCACAAGGCATGGAATGCCGTCAGCAACCCTCTCCCGGCTATGCCCTCAGGGAGCCCTGGATAGGTAGTAAAGAAGGCAGATTGCTTCCCCCCACCCCGGCCATTTTCCATTAGCGGTGCTGAGAGCACAGTCACTGTGAGCAAGACCCAGCATGGACAGCCTCCATCTTTAAGAAGCCCAGATATCTTCAGGAATGCACAGAACAGAGTAAACTCCTCAAAGCTCACTCTGCCACTTCATTGATTGATCTCACTGGCCAGGAGACTTGCTGAACTATCCTCAGAACTACCCAGAGTGTTCTAGAAGGGACTTCTGCCTGGTTGGCCCAGGTGGTCTCCAGAGTCCTTCGGAACTCAAGATTCTGTGGTTCTAAGAGACCGCTCTAATGCTCTCCGAGGCTTTGTGTACCCAACCCCCAAAAGGGAGTCTTCCAGCACTCCGGCGCCATGAGCGTCATCTAAGCTTCTAGAAACTTGAACGTACATGACAATCACCTGGCGACCCTGCTGAAATGCAAACTCTCATTCAGTTGGTCCGAGGGGGCGCCTGAGAGCCAGCATTTCCAACAAGCTCCCAGGCGATGCTGATCCTGCTTTCCACAGACCACGCTTGGATAGTCCGAGCTTCTAGGAGATTCAAGAGGCTGTCAGTTCACCCTCTGGCGTACAGCTGCCCTCACCCTGTGCACATGGCCCCTGACCCAGAGGGAGGGCAGGAACATTGGCATCACACTGACTTCCGCCAGCTTTTCCTGATGTGTCCTCACAGCGCATGTCCTTTAAATGTCTCCGTGGCCGCTCTTCCTCCACAGCTGCTCCTGGATGCCGGGGCCAAGGTGGAAGGCTCCGTGGAGCATGGTGAGGAGAACTACTCGGAAACACCCCTCCAGCTGGCTGCTGCCGTAGGTAAGAGCCACCGAGCCTCGTCCCTGCTGAGGGTCTCCACCACCTTGGCCCTTAATGTGTCTGTGACTCTATCTTTGCTTGATTCGCTGATAAAACCCCCTTCTCTGGGCTTGCAGGAAATTTTGAGCTGGTTAGTTTGCTGTTGGAGCGTGGCGCGGATCCCCTGATAGGAACCATGTACAGGAATGGAATTTCTACCACCCCCCAGGGTGATATGAACTCTTTCAGCCAGGCTGCAGCCCACGGACACAGGTAGGCTAGGATGGGCCAAAGCCACAAGGTCCCAAGTGGTGCTTGTTAAAAATGCAGATTCCCAGGCCTACCCCAGACCCACTACATCTCTGGATGTGGGGCCCAGAGGCAGGCCAGACCCCAGGCCTGGCCAGAGTGGCCTTAACCGCCAGCTTCCTGCTCAGAGCCAACCACGCAGTGCACATCCACTCAGACTGCTTTGTTTTGTCCTTTCCTGATCAGCTTTCACCTCACAGAGACTCCACTCTTTGCCGGTATTGGTCAGAACCCATCACCTCAGCTGCCAGGAAGGGAGAAGAATCCATTTTAAAAATAAGAAAACCTCTCACGCTTGGTTACTGCTTGTCTACATTTCCTTCGGGGTTCACCCCATCCTATTTTATTCCACGTACACCAAGTAAAGCAGATTCACTGTGGGACCCCATGCAGGCTGATGGTTAAAAGGGCACAGTTCTAGAATCTTCTGGATACTTGAGGAAAGCACTTAGCTCCAGCCTGCCCTCAAGGAAACGTAGTCAGCCATGCCCCACCGTCTCCTCCATCCTTAAAACATAAGCACCCGCGGTCAGGCCTCTGAAACCACCCCCCCGGGTCATTCCTGTCATTCCATTGTCTCACGTGAGTGGTGTCCCCACGTCCCGCACCCTGCCCCTGCCCTGGCAAAGCCCTTCCATCTCTGAGTGTCTTCCTCTCTGGGTTTATGATTGACAGGAATGTGTTCCGCAAACTGCTCGCTCAGCCAGAGAAGGAGAAGAGTGATATCCTATCCCTGGAGGAGATTCTGGCCGAGGGGACTGACCTGGCGGAGACAGCCCCGCCTCCCCTGTGTGCCAGCCGCAACAGCAAGGCCAAACTGAGAGCCCTGAGGGAGGCCATGTATCACAGCGCTGAGCATGGCTACGTGGATGTCACAATTGATATCAGGAGCATAGGTCAGTCCGGGCACCCTCCACCACTGGGCACGGCACCCCCACCCAGCCCTAGGTCACTCACATGCACACGTGCACACACACCACGGGGCCAGGGAGCTTCTCATTTGCTGGCCGGAGCACTTCTAAGCCAAAACACCCACACGATCCCCAAAGGCCCATCCATCCTCAGGTCATTTTCTCATGATTCCCAAACTCTGGACCCAGAGAATTTAGGCATTGGAATCACCTGGGAGCTTGTCTGAATACAGATTGCCAGGCCCTACACCCAGAGGCTCTGCTGTCGAGGGTCTGGATGGATAAAGGCCGGAAATCTTTATGTTTAACAATCATCCCAGGTGGTTCCCAGTGGTTGGTGAATCACTGCCGTAGAGTACCCAGATCCATGAAGCAGTGGCCAGACAGCCAGCTAGGGTGAGAGCATCACTTCCTCACCAGGCTCACCCACTGAGCTTCAGGGCGCAAAGCCACTCTTGGGAAAAGCTAGGTAGGGGTGGCTCTTCCTTGAGTGAGCTAGCTCGGATCCATCTCCTCCGTGTGTCCAGGGAGCAGGCCATCCCAGCCTTCCCAGTCTGGGGGCAGCGGCCCCACACAGGAATAGTAGAACCTAGCGTGGGCCTTCAACTGACCTGGTGTGGCAAGTCGAGGTGAGTGGAGGGCCTGAGGAGAGGACCCCCTGCCGCTGTTCTGGATGTGGGCCTCTCTCTCAGAGCGACTGTTTAGTAGGCAGGACATTTATGCCATTGCCCCAAGAGCTTATTTAGTAGGATGACGAAGCTCCGGACTCTGAATGGCCTGCTCCTTATGAACAGTAGTGAGAAGCGCTCTTCCTCTGTGCCTCTGAGCTGCTGGCGAGGTTTCTGTTACAGGAAGAAGGCCTGATGAAGCGCCCACAGATGGAAAAGTTGTTTTGCACAGGGGAGCAACAGGGGTATCCTCCCAGGTCTTTCTCTGACATCCCATGTCCGTCCTGGATGGAGCAGTAGATGGTCAAGTCCACCAATAGGTTTCACCAGCTCGGAGCTCTCATCTGGGCATGATGTGCTGTCTCATCCCGGGCAAGACCCTTCCCTCCCTGAGCTTCTGTCCCCCCAGAAGGCAGAAGGGGTGGAGGTGAACGGAGTCAGGACCCAGAAGTATGGAGAAGGCATAAGCAGCGTGTGACAATTCCATGTTCTACCTGATGGTTATATCTGGTAAAATGCAGCTCCTAGTAATGCGAACAGCGTGCACAGATGGACACCCATAGCTAAGGGAACTGAATTATGATCTTCAGTTTCAACATCTGCACGTCTTCAGGGAAAAAAAGCAACACCGGCGCTATTCATCCCAAGTCAGGCTCTTGTCTTGGTCTCGTCATTTGGTGCTGTCCTGGGGAAAGGCCAGCTTCCAGATAAAAACACGCCTTCTGTTGTGGTTGTTTTCTGTCTTGTCCTCTCCTACCCTCCACGCCCTCCCCTCCCCCTCCCAGGGGTCCCTTGGACACTGCACACGTGGCTAGAGTCTTTGCGGATCGCCTTCCAGCAACACCGTAGGCCTCTCATCCAGTGCCTGTTGAAGGAGTTCAAGACCATTCAGGAGGAAGAGTACACGGAGGAGCTCATTACCCAAGGCCTGCCCCTGATGTTTGAGATCTTGAAAGCGAGCAAGGTAGGAGAAGTTTGACGCTGTTGGGGTCGGTCGGCGGCAGAGAACAAGAACGACCTCACCCGTCCCTGAGCCTGGTCCCGCCCTTTGGGGAGGACCGTGTGCCCAGCTAGCTAAAGCTACTTGTGTCATTTGTGGGCCACTGTTTTTGTTTTTGTTTTTTAAGATTTTATTTATTTGACAGAGAGAGACACAGCCAGAGAGGGAACACAAGCAGAGGGAGGGGGAGAGGGAGAAGCAGGCCTCCCGCCGAGCAGGGAGCCCGATGCGGGGCTTGATCCCAGGACCCTGGGATCATGACCTGAGCCGAAGGCAGACGCTTAACTGACTGAGCCACCCAAGCGCCCCTGTGGGCCACTGTTTTGCTGAGCACCTGCTATGTTCCAAAGCCCTTGGGCACATGGGACAAAGTAGAGAGATACCTTCTAATCCAGGGAATTTACACAAAAACTGGGGCAGTCATGCCAACACATGTGCCCCAAGGCCATCTGAGGTTTATGAAACAGAGTTCAGTTGGGTGGCATGGGCTCTGAGAGGTGTGAGTCGGTCAGGGAAGGTGTCACGGAGGTGCAGAGACATGAGCAGGCCTGGATGGACAGATAGGAATTCAGCGGGAAGAGGGAAATGGTACAGACCCTGCCGAGGATCCTGCAAAGCCAGGCCCTGGAGAAAGCTTTTCGGGTACAGAGGATCAAATGAGTGTCACCCCTTCCTCACAGGCCTCCTAATTCCTGCAATAGGGAAATGCTGCAACCCCATTAAAACATCAGTCCAGCCCTTGGGCCATTATGAGATCAATTCTTAAAAATTTCTTTGGGGTCACTTATTCGGCGCTACCAAATAGATGTCTGGTCCCAGCCAGTGGGCCATGTGGCATTATTGTGTGTGTTGCTAGAGAACTTTGAGGATGGACAGTGGTGGTGTGCCCATCCCCCAGCCATCCACTGGGGTGGAGAGCCAAGGGCAGGGAGAGACAGTGACCAGTGCCCCACCACTGTGGCCACGCAAGCACCAGGGGTGGCCAGTCTGCCTGAGAGGCTCTGAGGAGTTTGTGCGTCAAGTTCCACATATCCTGAGGGCTTCTCAGTGGGCCCCCAAGGGCCTGTATAGCACAGTGGTTCAGAGCACAGACTCTGGAGCCAAACTGCGGCGATTCAAGCCTCGCTATGCCACTTCCTAACCTTATGAGCTCAGTCAAGTTACTTAGCTGCCGTCAGCCTCAGTTTCCCTACCTGAAAATGGGGACAATAATTATATTAAACCTCTTAAGGTGGTTGTGAAGATAACATGAGTCAGCGCCCTTCAAATTGTCCCTGCAAATTAGTGAGTGCTTTATAAGTGACTCCGTCATAAAGATGGCCTCACCAGAGGATGTGACGCCCCCACTATTTCCCAAAGGGTGTTCTGTAAAAACCATCCCGTTGCAGCACACATACCAACCAGCCACAAATACTGAGCTGAGAACAGGCCAAACATCAGCTCTTTCTGCAGGCTAACATTGGATTACTCCAATTTCTCTCCTGCAGAGCCTCGAATACCCTAATTCACAAAGGCAGTCAGGGGTTTCCCAAACCCATTTGACCTTGGAACCCTTTTATAATGAACTGTCTCAAGACACAAATGAGGATATTTTTAAGCTAAAGTATATATTTTATATTTACTATATGCCAGGCACTCTTCTAAGTGTATTATAAGGATTAACTCAATCCTCACAAACAACCTTTGAAGGAGGTAATGTTCTTATCCACATTTAACAGATGGGTAAACCGAGGCAGAGCAGGTGATCACTTGCCCAAGATCACACAGTTGGTAAGTGGCAGAGCGAGGCTGGAACCCAGGCAGCCTGGCTCTAGCACAGCCTCTTACCCCTTTGCTCCAGAACAGACTTTCTAGAACTCTGGGGTTCCCTCTAAGACAGTGGAGCCTCTGAAGTCTCAGGGGGAATGGGCCTCTGAACCAAAAGGGCAGCATGGGTTCCCCTTGCCAGGCTGGGCCCACGGGCTGTCCAAAGAGTGAAGAGGGGAGCAGAGAGCTGCCTTCTCCGGATGTGGCAGTGTCGGTCCAACAACAAAGCAGCAACAACAGGGCCCGTCCACTGTCTGAGCCTCGGGCTACCTGGCCTGGGGTCCAGAACAGCTCTCATGAGATATTCTCGTCAGCAGCCTAGCCTTGGTCCAGAACCTCAGGGCCCCCTGCGGGCTGGATTTGCACCTGATGGAAGCCCCACCAGGACCCAAAATGGGAGCGGGGGTGCCAGCCCTTGTGTAATGAGCCACAGCGATTCCACAGAGAGCAAAACCTGATGGAAGCATTTCAAAACCAAACTCTCCCTGCCCCTCACTCTTCACCCCTCCAACTTTGAATGAATGAATAGAATGAATGAATGAATGGAGTGGTGCTTTCACCTGCAGTTACCTAAGAGACCACTTTAGTGAAAAACATTCCTAAATCTGTTCCTAGGGTTAGCGGTTCTAACTTGTTTTTGTTTGTTCCGTTTTTAGGGTATAGTAGGAATTCCAGAAATCACTAAGGCATCCTGTGTATTACATAAGCCTAATCTATAGGTTTTTGAAGTAAACTTTATTTTGGAGTTTTGGAGTATGACATACACACAGAAAAGTGCCCAGATCATAACTATAGAGCCTAATGAGTTTTCACGAGGTAAATATACCTGTGTGATCAGCGCCTAGGCCAAGAAAGAGAACACTACTAGCACCCCAGCAGGCCCCTTACGCCCCACTCAGCTACTACCCCCTAACGGACAGCCAATGGCTGGGCGGGGGGGGGGGGCTGGGAAGAAGGGAGGAGCCTTTGCCAGGAGATGTGGACTAGAGCCTGCTCCCCATCAGCCATACCTATCTTCAAGGGTGGAGGGAGCCAGGGATGAGGCAGAAGCAGCTCCCTGTCAGGAGCGGACAGTCTGGGAAAGATGGTGCACTCAAGAGTTGGGTTTGCTCTTATAGGGGTTCAGGGGCAGCCCCTACTGGTGAAGTGTGGTATTACACATCATGTATATTGCCAGTAGGAGGAAAGAGGAGGTGATCAATTTCCCATGGCTACACTGTGAAGCCAAGCATTCCCCAAGCATGAGTGATATCCCTATGGTCAAAAGAAGACTGGAGAGAGATGGGAGCAGAGAAATCCAAAAAGTTGAGAAAGCTCTACAAAGCTTGCCCGCCCATCCGTCCTATTAGAGGATGGTTAGTAGCCACACATCACAAAACTGCCCAGCATTGTTCCTTCTTCCATTAAGCGGGTCCCGTTCAGATCGCATCTGCTGTTCTGTGTGGACAGGTATCTGGTTTTATCAGATGGATAAGAAATAGTGGATAAGGAGATAGAAATTCCGGAAATAAATTCACTTTATGGTCAACTCACAGAAATATAGCTGTCCTATAAAGTGAAGCTTATGCCTTCCCATCCTTGACTTGTGCTCATTCATACATTACTTGATATCTGGTTGCAGATGTGTTGTTTTTTTTTTTTTTGGCTCCCTCTTCTAAATTTTACCTTCAAAAGAATTCAGCATCTCTAGATTTTCCAGGAACAGAACAGTATAGCCATTTCTTAACACACACCTGTTTAAAGAAAGTTCCTGGTCCGTTTCTCCCACACGTAATTCCCCAGAGCACTGATTCATTCCACAGTCACCAGGTCTCACTATGCAGCAGTGGTGATGGGACTGACACATTCTTTCTCCTCCTGGAGCTTACTACATCCAGAGGAGGGACAGACACACGGTAAGCCAGGAAATGGATCAGCAAAAGAGAGTGAGAGCTTGATACATGCTATGAAAAAAAAAAATTAGACAATGATATAGTGCCTGGGGGTGGGGCAGGCAAGGCGTAATCTAGACAAGATGTAAGGAAGGTCTCGCTGAGAAGGTAGCAACCACCAAAGTGAGGGAAAGCTCCAGCCATGCAGTGGTCTGGGGCAAAAGCATTCCAAGTGGGGAGTGTGGGAGCTGAGGCTCTTAAGGGAAACGTGCTTGGTGTGTTGAGGTGATAGGAAGAAGAACAAGGTGACTGAGGCAGTGGGACAAAGGAAGAAGTATCAGAGATAAAAATCGGATTGCATGGAGTCATTCTCCATGTGAAAAGTGCGGGTGTCCCTCCACATACGTGCAGTGAATAGAACACCACTGGAGGTTTTAGACAGAGACAAGACCTGATCTGTGCGCTTTTTTCCTTGTGATTTGTACACTGTTTTATTTTTTCTCAATTTTTAATTGAAACATCTAAGTTTTTTAAACTTTCGATTTTGAGATCGTCATAGATTCACATGCAGTTGTAAGAAAAACTATATTCTACTATGTAGCCTTTACTCAGTTTCCCCTATTGGCAATATCTTACTAGACTATGGTAAAATATCACAACCACCATATTGATGTGATACAGTCAACATGCAGAAAATTTCCATCACCCACAGGATTCCCTCATGTTGCACTCTCCTAGCCAAACCCATTTCCCTTCTGCCGCCACCCCATTCTTACCCCCTGGTAACACTAATCTGTTCTCCATTTCTCCAATTTTATTTCAAGAATGTAATTTCAGGGGGCGCCTGGGTGGCTCAGTCGTTGGGCGTCTGCCTTCGGCTCAGGTCATGATCCCTGGGTCCTGGGATCGAGCCCCGCATCAGGCTCCCTGCTCGGCAGGAAGCCTCCTTCTCCCTCTCCCACTCCCTCTGCTTGTGTTCTCTCTCTTGCTGTGTCTCTCTCTGTCAAATAAATAAAATCTTTAAAAAGAAAAAAAGAATGTAATTTCAGGGGCTTCTGGATGGCGCAGTCAGTTAAGCATCCGACTCTTGGTTTTGGCTCAGGTCGTAATCTCAGCGTCGTGAGATTAAGCCCCACATCTGGCTCCACATTCAGCATGGAGTCTGCTTGAGATTCTCTCTCCCTCTCCCTGTGCTCCCCCTGGTCATGCCCTCTCTCTCTCTCTCCCTCTCTCAAATAAATAAACAAATAAATAAATAAATGTTTTAAAAAAATAGAATGTAATTTC